TATATACATTTTCATTCTACTTTTATTTTAGTTTATAGTTTTTAATGACACTGCAGAGTTAATTCGTTTTATTTGCTATTATAATATATTTACAAGTCAATCATAATCAGTCAGCATAGGCAACCGATCAAGCTATCATAAACAGTTCTGTCTTGTTAACGATTTTATATCAACTATCATTCATACGTCTGGAAACATTATGCCATTATGATGTAAAAATGGCTTTAGCATGTTTTCAAGTATGAGGCGATATTTTGTTTGCATTAAATGTTCTGCTCTAATTTTTTATTCCTTAAAAAGGGGAATTTAAATCAGTCACATATAAAATCAAAAGAGATTTACATATAATTTAGACAAATAATTTTAAAAAAAACTATTTTTATATTTTATTTTTGTGTGTGCCGCTTACACATGTTATTGTGTGTAGGGTTCTTTTTTATCTTTACTTGAGAGAAAATTTTAAGCGTATTTCTAAATACAGACAAAATTTGGAATCAGAAATATTACTTTACAAATTAGGAGAGATACTCAGATTTTGTTACATAGTTATATTTGTGAATTATTTTCTATTTGGGAAGTAACTACAGTTTTATTATTAAGCGTAAAATGTGCACTGCATTCAATTTCAAAGTAAATCACACATTTGAAGTCAAAAACCAATTTATTATCTTAAATGTGCGATTTTAAATTGAACTTCCGTTCCACCGGAAGAAGAGCGTAAATTCATCGGAAACAGAAAGAGGTTTGATGAGTTCTTTTTGTGAAAAGTAGGTTTTGAATTTTCATAACGTACGTCATATACTTGGCTGTTGTTTTCGTAAGAATTTCCTTCATGTTGGCGTTTTAATTTCATATCAAACATTTTTCACAGATGAAGCATGTTTCATCAAAGTGGATATACTACTGTTTCAAATGGTTGGACGCTTATAATTTAATGCCTTTATCAGAAATAACCAATAACTCTCTGTCATTTAGGCATCTCATCACCGAGAATGTTGCCCAAGGTGCACCATAGGGCGCGACCTATACAACAGGAAAGTTCGTTCCAGCTGTGATAAAGATAACTTCAAGGGATGGATCCGAGAGTTTGGCACCCCTCTTTTCCTACCACAGAAAGATTCAAGAGGACTTTCTGCTTGCTAGTATTTTAAGTGCCTCCATGCAGATATAATAATATACAGCTGCAAACTCTAAGCCTTCTCTCGCGACACAATCCCGAGCTCGAGGATAAGGGAGCCAGCAGCACGAAATATTTATTATACCGATCAGGGTGTCAAGAGGGTGTGTGACTGCTGGTTAAAATTAATGGAGCTGTGAATAACTCAATATGTTTATCGAGTCTCCTTAGCATTTTGTAAGAAAATATGTATGTCTCATAATATGCTCAGTTTCATAACAATGCACTTTTAAGTTGAACAGCCTGTAGTAGCAGGATTTCCAGGCAGAGGCACTGGAAACTTAATGAATCAACGCTTACACTCATGTAGTTAAAATGGCAGAACATTTCTATACTATGTTAAACATTTCGTATTCCTTGTGAGACATAGTCACTTCTTTAGAAACAATCCTTTCAAAACAATACTGATACCAAATAGAATAGATGGTCTAAATTTTGTGACAGGAAATTAGATGTTTTGTTTCTTTCAAGTTTCATGTCAAATGTTTATAAAACATTCTACTTCTGACCGCAAAAATGGCAGATATCGTAACTTAGAAAATAGATTAACTATCTTCCTGTGATTAAAAGATGACTAATTTATTACTCCGGTTTGAAATAAAATCGAGAAATTTAATATTCCTTTCCCGGATTTGGCTGAAGTTTCCAAATGAAAAGCTGTTCTTAAAAATTATTGGATAATGTCATTAAATTATATGTATTCGTTCGTTTAATGCCTAATTTCTGGCAAAAATAAATTTTTATTGTCTAGATAGTACTAAAATATTCTAATAATATATTTGAAATGCTTGAAAATAATTTTTTGCCGTTTAATATTCTTAGAGAATGAAAGGTGCTGATGAAAATGTATACCGAAACATTGTGTAGTCTCTGATAGATTACACTCTGAATAAACATATATCTCAGCAACATGCTGTCGTTTCAGATTCTAAGCTATAAATCAATCTCTGCATAATTAAATCTCTTTTGAAATTTCCTGTCTCTTAGACAAAGGTTGCTTGCGTAATTCGTCATCTATGTGTATAATTAAGTCATCGTATATATGCCTCTAATCAAAGAATTGTTTAGAGGAGAGTATCTTAATAATCACTGCTTGATTAAGTATTAGAAGTTAGTTTTCAGAGTAACAAATAAGAAAAATATCTGGCAATTTTAATTCTCGAAAAATTCCTAAATTTCTCTAAAAATGTGTTAATTATACCTTTCGTCTTTGTTCATTATAAATTAATCTACATAATTAAATGTTGGAAAGTCTAGAGAAATTTCTGAGTTAAATGTACACACTTCAAAAGAGTTTGCAATGGAACTTGACCAACTAAGATTTTTATCTCTTATAAATATTTAAATAAACACTTAGACAATTAACCATCGACCAACACCGCCGTATTTGTTTGTTGTCCGCTAGTAAAATTCTTGCTAAATATGCAATAATTCTGAACTAAATTGAATTAGAGTTACTTCAAATGCAGCAATTCCTATCATATATATTTTAGAATCATATCCATCCATCATCAAACACAGGACACACATTTTGATATCAAAATCTGTGATGAAAGTCTCATATTTAATGCCTTTGCATGCTTTCAAAAAATATTGCATTTAAAATTAAAAACTTTATTGCAATAAAATTTAGAAAGAAGCTCAGCAAAATTCCAAACCTTATCAGAAAATTTCCCTTTTAATATTTAACATAAATAAGAATGAAGTATCCAGCTTCATTTTTGAATATTTGCAGCTAATAATATAGAGAATCTTTATAAATCTGTCTCATAGTTTCAAATGTAGTAAAAAAATATGTGCAGTTTTATTTGTTCAAAACAAAACGCAGCTCATAGAAGTTCTTATGATCGTCAGCGAGACATTTCTTGTCCTGTAAAATTCTCTCGAGGCATTTTCTTCTCCTGAATTCAAACCATAATACCTTTTTCGATTTTTGGTTCTACTGCCTGATAATCTACGCAAACCAAATGCGGCACACAAAGATTATTGTACTTAACCAACGTTAGAAAGGAGTTCAAATTAAAGAAATGGAAGTATTAATACTTAAAATAATTAAAATTCAGATGGCTAGCGCGTATTCTTAGTTTTCCACAAACTAAATTTCTCTTGTAACCGAAGCTTAAATTTGACCTGTCAAATGGCAAGAGTTAATAAGCTTATTTGATAATTTCCCCGGTGTTGTTTACTGTAAAGAGTGATATTTCTACCCTGACATTCTCGGATCTAGATCTATACCCTGACATTCTCTGATCTAGATTTGTACCCTGGCAATCTCGGCCTCAGGGATATAAAATACTCCAACCTGCGTTCCTATAACATGTGGGCGTAGGGTAAGGACCTCAACCGCGTCAAAATGGGTGCCCATAGGGGAGTTGTTTTAAAGCTCTCCTTGATGACCAGTCGTTTTCGTTCAATAAGCACCACATCGTTTGTGGTGTGTTAGAGAAAAATATTTATTCTCCGTCCTGATGGATTGGAATTAAGGGTTGGGACGAGCGCTGTTCTGAAGATATATAAATTCTGAGCTTCAATTTGAAATGTGATTCGCCGTTTATAGTGAGTGACGCAAAATCCCGTTTCGATAATAATAGCCCATTCGGGCTTATTCCCTTTTTGGCTAAAAATCATAAAAAATGAATTAACATTTTACATTAAAAATTAATATGAACTGAAAAGTTCCTTTTTAGTAAACATATTTAATATTGTCAAAAATTTCTCCCAGTAAGGATTTGATCTCTGGCTGCCCAAAATTTCCTCAGAATTTCAACATTAAACTTTAAAATTGGCATGTTAATATTCTACTTATCAAAATATCAAACTTTTTTCTGCGAAAATGTAAAATTTTGCTGCTTTTAATAATACTTTTTAAACTGGAAGGCTATTTCAATGAGCTTTAATCTGCTGTCTGCATAAATGCATCGAACGGGATTAAATACATTATACCCCTAGTACAGAGAAACAATCCTTTTAATAAAGTGAGATAATGCTCTATATCGTTATAAAACAATATTATTTTAAAAAGCACTTTACTAAAATAACACTTAAATCTGTTGAACTGAAACACTGGAAGTAAAATACTTTTCGTATTACGCTTGGAACCTTGCATATTAACAATCATCACAAAGCTGCCTGTTACGAATTTTATACATTTTGATAGATGATTTTAATGCAATTTTTATTAAGAGTTTTTTGATAGATGATTTAGATTTTATTAAGAGTTTCTGCCGGTTAATAACACTGACAAAAGTGGATTTTTCTTATAACAGCGCGAATGCTGTTTAAGAGAAAAATAACAGAATGAACAGGTTAAGGCTTTGGCTTTGTCACTGTATGATGGGTACGTCTGTATACTGGATACGTCTTGTCATGTGTTTAAGATAAATGTGAGAGAATTTCCACTTTGTTCCAGTCAGTAAATTTAGTTTGCCTATTTAGCAACTGATAGCTCTTCAGTATTCTGAAATTACTTTTTTCAGTTAATGTTAAGAGTAAGTTATTTAATGATTAATTCAACATACTGGAATTACCTGAAATAAATATCAGTCTAAAAAACATTTAGCAGTTAAAGGTCATTGTGTTTGAACTGCAAAGTACAGTCAATAAAAATTTCTTGCAAGTACCAACTTCTAGACTTCAGACGGAAAATAAATTTGAATTTTTCCTTTTTATTGCTATTAATTATTATCTTTGTTTATAAAAGTATTGAAAGATATTCAATATGCGAAATTTAACATTTATTTTATTTATTCAGATATTTTTTTTTTTTTTGTTTTGTTAAAATATTTTAAGTGTTGTTAAAATATATTCTGCTCCTTACTTTCAGATTGAGTACAGTTCGAGATTGAGATATGCACTATTCAATTCCAAAGGCTCGGTGATTCCAACGGCTTGACAACAAAGCTATCAATTGAAATTGGGATTGTGAGGGATCACCACTGTGGAGTGCACCAGACTACAAATTATTTTGCTCAGCTTGTAACTCTTCATCTTTGTGGATATGTAATCAATTCTAAATCAGTGGTACTGAGTGACAGTTCCTTTTCCACCATTTGGTATAGATCTGTGGCCTGCGTACGTAATTATTGCGGTCTTTTACTCTTTTTTACAGTGTGAATTTTTAATAAACCTTTCAAACATACAATAATCATTCAATCATGCAAAGGTAATTTCTTATGCTGGGAGCGCATGTTATTTCTTTGGTAAAAGGACCACCCATTGAACAAGATTATCATGTCTCTTCATTTCACAATTTACTGGAATATCCGATAGAATACTTGTTGTTCGGAGAAGAAATTCCGTCTATTACCATCTTAGCGTGTTTTTAACTTGTGAAAAGTGTAATGACTTCGGTTCTATTCGGAGATGGGGGATGAACTGAGTTTTCTTTCATGTAATAGGAATAAATTTCAGCATTCTCCAATTGAATGTTGACGAATTAAACATACTAAAAATTAATGATAAAAAGTACAAATAAAATTTCTTGATAGACCTGAAATTGCATAAAATCTTTGTTCGTTTTCAGTAGAATTGAAGACGTTGAAACTTTGAGCTGTTGTTTATTCTGTATTAAAAAAAAGTGAGTAAAAAAAGCTCAGTTTGTTTCTGTTAAAAAGGAAGTGTGTGGCTGAAAGACATTATAGCTATTTAATTAATTACTCTTCAAGATTAAAGAACTCCAATTGCATTTGTGTTTTTTCCCTCCCAGTAGTAAATTAAATCGATTGCGTAATTATCACGTTAGATTAAAGTAAAATACCTTTAGGTTTTAGGTTTAAATCACAACTTCTGTCTGTTTTATTGTAAGATTTATGTAAATGCAATAAACGCACATTTTCAGATATATTTATTTATATGGAGAGCTTATCTTACATTCTTATTAAAAGTAAATAAAAGGTTTCTGAATATGTTATGCAAATTCTATTAGTTAACAGAGTATTTGTCACAGAATAATTAAGGCATATTATGAATGTATACCTACGCTCTGGTTTCAGATATTTGCTATCGGCTTTTCTTCTTTCAGTGACGTTATTCGATAGTATGTAAATCTTTCGTAAAAATCAATGGATACATTTATGGAATCTATGGAAATTTAAATTATATATCTAAAACAGGATGTGTATTACATTTGAAGATTTGTATATTTTGTATTTAAGCTTGTAAATTATTTTGTTGTACACTGCGAAAAACAAAAATGGGGGACTGTTCGATATTTCCCGTTCTACTGGACCGATTGACAAAATTCAAATTGCGTTTTTCATGTCTCGAAAGCGCGACTTAGAATAATATAGCATTGTTATACTAGATATTTTGGCACAAAACCGAACCTTTTCTGAAATAACTTACCAATTTTTTTCCATATTTCGTTTCTACAATTCAAATTATACCTAAATATTAAATTTTGTAAAATTTGGTGCGAAATTTATGGAGAAATTCACAATTTTATCTTTGCGCCTTTTTTTTTCAGTTTGCGCAAAGAAAAATTCACTTGGCGAGCTTCATATTATATGGCAACCCATTTTCCTTTCAATTATATTATGCCGGAGCGGAAAAAAAAGGCATGTCGTTCCTACCTTCTTACATTGTGCATGGGCGGAAGAAAAGTGACATTGTTCCTACTTTCAAATAATTTTACCAAAGTGTTTAAACGACATTTGATGTTTTATCGCTTTAAAAAAATACACCAAATTTCAAAACGCGCCAATATATATATTTTCACATGTATCTTCGGAAATTTTGAATAAAAGACTCATTTTTTGCGGGTATGCTTAGAAATACGTCTAATTTAAGATTATGGTAAAACTTTTATAGATTATAATTCATGTTTTTTTGAAAAATTTATAAAAATTATTTAAAAATACAGATTTTTAAAATAAATAAAAAATGGGTGAATTTTCTTTGGAATGAACCTGAATTTCGAAATGTGAAAGGAAGAATCAAATACGTTTAATAAAAAAGAGAGATTAATAAAATATATACCAAACTTAATTAACATTGAGGAGCTAAAGTTTTGAGGGCTAATTTTGTAAAACCTACTCGTGCGATTTTTACAAAACTTTGGTAGTTTGGTGTAATTTGAGTCGTAGAATTAAAATATAGAAAATAATTAGTATCTTATTTCAGAAAAAGTCCGATTTTGTTTTAAAATGCCTATATTAGAACAATGTTATATCTAAATCTGTCTTAAGTCGCGCTATCGAGACATGAAAAACGCAAGAATTTCGTCAATCGGCCCAGTAGAACGGGAGATATAGAACTGTCCTCTTTTTATTTCCCCCGCAGTGTACATGCTTCTTCCTGTTAATAACCAAAGAGCAATTATTTTGAAAGACCAGTCGATTTGAGTGAAGACTTTTGACTGTAATTCTCCCTATTTTCTTTGACTTTCAGAGAGGAATAATTTTATTTGTAGCTAAAATATCATTTTGATTTTCTTGGTCATCAGTAAATCAGAAAGCTTGTTCTTTAAAATTTTCTGTCTAGTTCAGAATCTACTAATAGCGAGACTAGTAATATAGTATTCTCTCCAAGCACCAACACTACAACCCTTAAGCGTCTTTAGCAAGCTGTTTCAAAGTACCACCCTTTTTGAATAAGACAAAGAACAACCAGACGCCATTATAAGAGTATCAACTGTAATCAAGTAAAATTAAAATTAAAATTTTTGCCCTCGTAAAATTTAAATGTTACATCCGACCATTTTAAAATTGTGTTATATAGCATCGGATGATTTTAGAAGAACCAACTGAGGGATTAGAAAATCGAATTATTAAGGGCAAGTAAGCTAGATTTAAGACACGTGTAAAAAACGTAATTGTAAATTCTTATGAAATCGTGACTGTTAAACCCGTTGAAAATTCTAGTAGTTAAACCCAAAACGAGAGATCATAATAATATCGCTAAAGATGGATCCGCTTTCCGTAGTCAAATTTACCCGCCCCAGCAAGATGTTGAAAAATAATATTCATATTAGTAATGCAAATAGATTCAGTGTTTTAAATAGTAATATGGATGATGATAATGTTGATAGGAAGTAATATAAATAATGTTGATGATTGTATCAATATTTTTATGGATACTGGAAATGCTTAGAACGCACGTGCTTCTCCATCGGCGTGTCGCGTATGTTTGATGATTTTGTAAAGAAGCTCTGTAACGAAGCTAACTTTGTATTCACAGCTAGAATTGCTAGTGAGTTCCTTAAAAATCTACTTTCTGGATAGTAATCATCAGAGATTAATGACTAAAATAAAATTCATCACTATGTTATGCACAGTACTTCTGCTAAAACAATTATGGTTGTTCTTAGAGGTATTTCTTCGGACTGGTCCCTGATGAAACTCAGCAAGAACTGTTATGCTGAAGTTTTAGGTTAATCCGATGTAGCTATTTCGTACTAGATCCCCTATGCTTCTTCATCAGGCTCATTTTGTTAACGAACCTGGATTTGAGCTCAAATACAAGACGTCAAGCAGCTTATGTGTTTTGATATCTCTCTTGATGCATATAGATTTAAAGGAGGTCTGGCCCAGTGCCGGAACTACTAGTATTTTTAACCATTCTTCTCAACAGTGTAAGTTAGCCCCCAGATCTGTGAAACGTCACTTACCTGACAAAAGCTCTGGATGTGAAGCCAAATGGATCTCAAATATGACGTGCTAGTTCGGTTCGGGGTTCGAGTCCCGGCGAACGGGCTGGCTGCATGGGCGTTTTCTTGGTTTTCCTTATGTGTAACGTGGATACGAGCCAGTTTCCCTTAAAAAGACCTCCACGTGGCATCCCTCCCTTTAGTAGTGACAAAGGACAGAGCACATAATAAGCAAAAAAAAAAAAAAAAAAGACTTACTGTGACTGTTGACTGCCGCATGCTGCGAATTACAACTAATGTCCGATAAATTCTGCTAAACTTAAAATAAACTATTCATCACTATGTTATGCACAGTACTTCTGCTATTAATCACTATGTTATGCACAGTACTAGCATTCTCCATCACTACCACAAGAAGAACATCTTATCAAATGATTTATCTCAACCACGTGCTCTGTTCCTTTGTCAGATGTTTGAAAAAATACTTTGGAACCCTCTGTCAGGGAAATAAGAAATCAACCCACTGGGAACTCTAAAATATTAGATAATTCAGAAAATTTTCCTAAACTTGTTATAAAAGATTCACCTCAGAAATAAATACTAAAACGTTTTCCTCCAATGGAGGGCTGTAGCTACAGAAATTAGAAGTACTCTGAACAGAAATCTCTACCTAAAAAAAAAAGAGCTCAAAAATAAATCTGAAAGCAATTTTCCTGCTGTAAATAATTTTTGTAAAATAATTAAAGAAGTATCTTAAGTTTATTCACAATTTCCTATTACGGATATCCTTAGAAAATTTCGATGAAAGAATTAATCAAATTAGAAATTACAAAAACCCACAGACAAATTAATCGTTATATTTAATCCTTTTGAGGAAACTTTTAACGGCAGTTCTTCTACTAACAGAAGGCATTGACATCACTTTTTGCGTCTAAATTGCATTATGGTTTTCACTAAACGTTTTCTTACCTATGGTGTAATTGCTAATTGGATCAAATTTCTTTTATATCTTCCGTTATACTGCTCAATTTTTTTGTAGTGTCGCTTTCATGTTTAATTTTATAAGTTGTATCTTTGGGATATTTTTATACTTTTGGTGGTATTGCTTGCTGTTTCGTAATGTTGTACTTTTGTGCTGTTGTTTGTATTCGATAATTTATTGGTAATATTGTATTTAGGAAAACTGTATGATTATTTTCTGCATTGTAGTTTTTATTCGGTAACTTTTTGGTTAATGTTGTACTCAAGGTTATTCCATTAGTAATTTAAATATTGCACTTCGTGTTAAGTAATTTTGGGGAAATATTAATTAAATATATTTCTTACTACTTTTATCGTTATTATATGTGCTTTTTGTTTCCTCTATCATCAGCTTCCTTATTTTTGAATGTTACTTCGCCAGAAATTCAGTGGCCCACGTGTTTTTAATTATGTCATCTAACTTTGATTTCCAGTTAACGCCATGCGCATCTGTATAATGCTATTT